TGAATACTATGCAGCCATTAAAAATATTTACAGAAATCTTTCAATATATTAAATAGGGGAAAAAGGCAGGTTACAAAACAGGATTATCCTATTTTTATAAATCACGTATTGATCATGTATTCTGCTTTGCTAGGGGATATGCTAAATGCTGGGAATAGAGACAAAAAGAAAAAGAAAAGCACTCCCTGTACCAATGGCAAGCAGAGAACTATCTCAGCAGTGGCCACAATGTGTGAAGGACATGCAGTGGGGATGCGTGGAGGACGCCAGATGAGCAGAGGTGATGCATCTTCTGGGTGCAGTTATGAGGGAGAATACTCCTTGGAGAAAGATCCCTTAGCAGAGAGTCTCAAAGGAGATAAACACATGTTCAAAACACAGAAGTGACAGATGACCATAGATACTACTGAGGCTTATATGAAAGTTACTAAAGTTATTTAACACAAAGCTCCAAGAAAGTTGAAGGTAGAAGTAATCTGTGCTGAGGTTTAAGATAGTAAAGGGTAGGACAACACAGCCAAGGTCTTAACAACAGGAGAAAATGGGGGTCTAGAATAAAGTGGTGGGGGCAGGGGGAGGGTTCTGATTATGAACCTCAAGTTTGAGGGAAGGAAGAACAAAGTTATAGGTTAGGGTAAAAATGAGATCACAAGCCTGTTCATTGTGCTTCCATTAATGTTAATTTTTTCTGTAAGATATAAAATAAGGTAATTTTGCTCAAATAGCAAAGGTTGGGAGAGTAGGAACTGATATTGATAGGGTACTCTCTGTATGCCACAAATTTAATATACAAATTTCAATTAATCCTCAAAATCACCCTAAGATGATTTATTATCCCATTATTAATCCCATTTAGTAGATAAGGAAATTGAGGTTCAGTAAGGCTTAATAAGCCTTAATAAGTCTTTGCTATACTAAGTGTGTGAGTGGTGGGGAGAGAAGAGAGAAAGCTTTAATCACCGTGGAGGATATGATGAATTATTATACTATGAAATGTCAGGTAACTTTTATGGGCTGGAGACAATTTATAACATCTTATATCATGGAGGGAATTTTGGATTTATTAAAGATGCTATCAAAGCTATAGCATTATAGTAAAATTTACTTAATTTTTGGTTCCAGAGCCTTAAAAAAATACTTTGTTGAGATAAATCACATACCCTACAATTTACCCTTTTAATGTGTAGAATTTGGAAACTTTTTAGTGTATTCATAGAGTTGTAAAGCCATCACCACTATCTACTTTTAGGACATTTCTATCCCCCCTCAAAAGAAACCCTGTATCCATTAGCATTCATTCCCCACTCCCACAAAACCAATAATCTCCTTTGTCTATGAATCTGTCAATTCCAGAAACTTCACATAGATGGAGTTATGTGGCCTTCTGTCTCTGGCTTTTTTCACTCAGCATACAGTTATCAAACTTTATCCATGTTGTAGCATATATCGGTTCTTCTTTTTATTGTGGAATAATATTCCATTGTATGGATATAGGCTACTTTGTTTATCCATTCATCCGTTTACCGACATTTGGGATGTTTCAACTTTTTGGCTATTATGTATGATGCTGCCATGAACATTTGTTGTTGTGTGGTCATATGTTTTCATTTTTCCTTCCTTTCATAAACCAAGGAGTAGAACTACTGGGTCATATAACTATGTTTAACAGTTTGAGAAAATGTCAATCTGTTTTCCAAATGTGCTTGCATATTTCTTTTAAAGCCACAACTTGATTGTCCAAATAGCTTTGGAAAAGCATTTTCTCCCTATACTTTAAGGAACTAGTTACCCAAAATAATTAGTATCCTGCAGCAAATTTTGGGGTTACCTTGAAGATTCAGTTTCGTCTTACATTGGAGGGTGGTGGTGAAAAACTGAGTATTTCCAAGATTGCATGAGCTATAGTGATTATATGAGTAAATCTAGCACTGTGTGGCACACAACAGGTGCTCAGGTTATGTGTGTAATTGGTTCTCAAGTAGGGAACCAGAAGGAAGGGCAAAATATAAATTCTAAGACATTTTCGTAACTGATATCCTTATTTCCTTGATAATAAAGACCTTTGAAATTTTCTGCCTTAAAAAAAAAAAAGTAAAATACAGCAACAGATGTTATATATAAATACATAAGAAAACAACCAAACCCAATTGCATACACCACAGCGGGGGTCATAGAGAAGAAATTACAGAGTTATCATTTGAGGAGACCTGCTGGCTCAACTGAGTATGTCCCTCGCTGAGATTTCTTTATGTTTACTTTAGCTCAAGCTAGCCATAAATAAACTTGAGTAGTATTCAAGAATACGTTACTAAAGAGTCTCTGGGAATGGCAATACGGTCTGTGAATTTGGATTCTACTAAGTAAAGAGATAATTAGAATATCCTAGCAACCAAAAAAAAGAGAAGAGTATGAAGACTGAGGCAGATGGCAAGATGCACATCAGCATAATCCTCATCCCCCAAAGGCGATCAACGCAAATATTCTGGTATCGTTTCTTTCATGTTTTTACCTATGCCATTCTCGGAGGGATTTGAGGGAAAATCTATCTAGGCCGGAACCCCCTCAAGCCTACAGCGTATAAGGTTTTTTCCTTCCCATGATGTGATGGTCTTTGAGGTGTTCACTTGGTCGGGCTATAGTCCTTGTTCAGACACTAATCTAGGTGTTGCTGGGAAGGTATATTATAGAAGTGATTAAAGTTAATAATTAGAAGACTTCAATCTGGGTGGGCAGGATTCAAGTAGTTTTAAGGCCTTAAGAGCAGATCTGAGGCTTCCTTGAAGGACATTTCACCCACAGTCAGCAACTTCTGCCCCTGTTGGAAAGTTCCCGCATGCCCTTCCCGATGGCCTGCCCCACAAAGTTATGGACTTGCCTAGCCAGCACCCACAAATGTGTGAGCTAATTCCTAGCAATGAAAAACCCAGGGCATTTCCAAGCATCAGTAACTATCTACTCCAACGTTAGCCTAGAGGACAGAAAAATTCCTAGCAGAGGCCAAGTGGAAATACTCCTTTCTCTCTAGGATCCCGAGGTTGACTTCAATACTTTCAAACTTTTTACCTGTAGACACTGGGTAAAGAATACAAGTATAAAATATTATTTGGGTGTTGTGGTAAACTATGAATAGTACACAAGATTATGACTGATTTTTAGCCCATCCTAAAATTTCTATCTTATTTATTGAGGGCAGGGTCCAGAAAGGGCAATAGAACACTTAATCTTGGCAAATCCCAAAACATATGTGAAACTAGAAAAAAGTTATTAACTGTGCTGTATAAATGATACTTGAGCCTATGGAATAACAGTTCAGGGAAACTGGCAAAGCTGTTACCACAGTGAGATTTAATGTAACTTTTCACAGTGGTGAAATCAATCCCTTAAGTAGCAGAGTGAGTTACTGTCATGTGGGATAAATAACTGCTTATGCATTTTCTGTAAATCATCTTTAGGATATTAGGCAGCTTGATCAACAATGCTGTATTTATACTATTTCATCATACACTGACCTCCACCATAAAAAATGGAACATGATTTTTTTGTGGTGAATTTGTTATAGTACTTACTTGAGGTCTCTGCTGAGAACTAAATTAATTCTGTCCTTTAAAGGTCGATTCTTTTCGGGAATAGAGAACCATGTCTTCCTCCCCATAATCACCAAATTCTGTTTACCTAGAAAATCACATAAAAGGATATTTTGGGAGTATACATTTATATTTTCATATATTCCCATACATATATGCAGAGATATGATTGTCATAGTGACATCTAGTGGATCTCCATTAAAAATTAAAATTAAAACAGGCTTGCCAAAATTTACATTTATCACCCCATTTCCTAAATATAGTAACTATTTTTCCCTATGGTATTATTCAATTCATATCCAATATTTAGTTTTAATCAACTGCAATCATGTATAATAGTGAAGAGCCAAGATTCTGGGGCAAAGTGCTCAAGTTCAGTATATTCAGTCATCTACTAGACAAGTCACGTTAGTCTTCCGTGTCTTACTTTCCTTATTTATAAAATGGAGATAACAGTAGTTCCTACTTCTAGGGTTACTGTGGGGATTGAAGACTTAAAGATTTAATAAGTCTAGTTTAACTGTTTGATATGATAGTATTATTCATATTTGTATACTTTGTAGATTTATATTAATAGTCATACTTTTAAAGACAAGTGCTTAATATTCCACTCAATTAAAAAGCTAAAACACTTTTTTGTAAAAAATTTTATTTATTTATTTGACAGAGAAAGACAGAGCAAGAGAGGGAACACAAGCAGGGGGAGTGGGAGAGGGAGAAGCAGGCTTCCTGCGGAGCAGGGAGCCGGATGCGGGGCTCGATTCCAGGACCCTGGAATTATGACCTGAGCCAAAGGCAGACGCTTAACGACTGAGCCACCCAGGCGCCCCAAGCTAAAACACTTTCTTTTTTTTTTAAATTAAAGATTTTTACTTATTTATTGAGAGAGAGAGAGAAAATGGTAGAGAGAGAGCATGAGATGGAGGAAAGTCAGAGGGAGAAGCAGACTCCCCGCCGAGCAGGGAGCCTGATGCGGGACTCGATCCCGGGACCCCAGGATCATGACCTGAGCCGAAGGCAGTCGCTTAACCAACTGAGCCACCCAGGCACCCGCTAAAACACTTTCAATCGTGCTTCTATCTTTCAAGTATAATGCTTCTATAGACATTTTATACACATAGCTTCACTTAGGAAAAAATCTTGGGAGTCAGATATCTGGATCAAAGGAATATACACATTTCTGTAATTCTTGGTACGTTCTGACAGGCTATGAAAAGAAGTGCATGTGTCTGTTTTAAAGAATCATTATTAGCTTGATTTTATTGAAATACAAACACTAACATTTACAAAATACAAGCTGTAAGACTAAGCATTTTTCCGTATATTGCTTCATTACTCATAACGAAATATTACCTCCAAATGTTAAGAAAAGTTTTTTCCTCTAAGAATTAAAACCCCAATAATTTATGGTGCCCCTATGCGATATGCACTGCATTTTCAAAGACAGAGCTTTAGGTGTTAGTAAGGAGATATCAATTATCAAAAATAACAGAGCCATTAGGTGAGGAATTCTGATGACAGAAATGGTACAGACCTGGCCTAACAACTAAGGTGGAGATGATAAGTGAAGAGCATAGGGAGACATTGGCAGGCAGGGGGGAAAAAAGAAAAAAACAAAAAAAAGCCAACACACCTTTGGTACCCTTCCAACCACTCATCCAAGAAATACTGTATTTACTGAAAACCAGCGAACAGGCCAGGTGTTGGATGCTTTCCCTACTACTAGACCATACTTTGGATTCTAGAGAGTGGTTTATGTCAATTCCTTAAGATTCAAACTACTGTTATCTCGTCTCTACTAGTGACCCAAGTGCCAGGTCCAAGGACTTGTATCTGTCCTGTTAAAGTTATGCTGCATTTGCTTCTGACTTACTATTTCCCTTTTACTCTGCTATTCCTTCTCCTATGACCAAATACATGTCTCTTGGGTTTTAAACGGCTATCCCACCACTATATTCTTTTCCCTGGTTGTCCTCGTCTCTCCAGTGGCTCAATTCATCTACTTCCCTGTACCTGAAATTATTCTGGATATCCCACAAAAGCCTCAAACCTCAAAATTATCATTATTACAATCGCACACTGTTCTCCACTCCTTTACTCTCCGTGTCACCCAGGATTAATCACCTGAGTATCTGAGAGTCCATCCTGGATCCCTCCCTTCCTGCATCCCCTTCGCCTTCCTGATCTCCACACTGGATATCATGGAGCCGTTTCTTGGACTGTTCTCCTCTCCACTGCCCTCCTTCAGGCCCCATCATCTCCTGCAGGGGCTATGACAAAGGCCTCCTCTGATTTCCTTTCTATTTTCTTCACCGAAGGCTGCAGCTAGCTGCTAATTCTGCCCAGTACCTCAACTGTACGCCTGCCCATATAAAATTTCAAAGAACTTTTTTTTTTTTTAAAGGATATGACACACCTTGGAAACTGCATACAAATAAGTGGTAAGACAAAGGGTCCCAGATTAACATGGACAACTTTTCATTTAAATAAAATCTGCACTGGTAAGCTTACTCAGCAAGATGTTCCCCAAACCTCAATCTCCTAAAAATCCCACATGACCTTCTACTGAGGAAGTTGTGGTCATTCTTTGGAAACACTTGAATTCGTTCCTACAAGTTAGACAAACAGCGTGACTCAAAACATTCTCCCGCGGGTTCGAGCTCTAACGCGACCCACAGACGCTGCCCTGGAGGAGTGGGCGGAGAGTGGGGGGGGGGGGGTTCTCCGGGACCCGGACTTTGTCCGGAGGCAGGACGCTGCGGGGGGAAAACTCCTCGTTGGGCGGCAGGAGAAGGACGGAAACCAATAACTTGTCCTCCCGGCTTCTGATGGCGGAAAGAAGCCCAGGCCCAGCTCCCATCAGCTCGGGTCCCAAGTCCGACCCCCTCCTTCCGCCGCAAGTGTCTGCGTGACCCACTCCTAGCGCAGCGATCAAAGGCAGCCGGCGCCAGCTCTCCCAAACCCAGTCTACCCCCTGCCCGGCAGGTACCTGAGCGGGGGCCACGGCAGGTCCCCGTTCTTGCCGATGCCCATGTTCTGGGACACAGCGGCGATGCAGTTGAGCGTACGAACCATGACAGCGGCTGTCAACACCTCCCAGCTAGCTCCCCAAACCGGGATTCGGCCCGCCGAGCTCGGCGCGAAATTGTGGCCACCCCGCCTCCTAGGTCCCATTTGTGCAGCCGAGAGTCCCCCCCCCGCCCCTGCGCACGGCAGGGTCGTGACATGCTCGCGCCCGCAGACGCCGGGGACCTGCGGCCGCGGGTTCGCGCTTCCGGCTGGGCCCTGCCGGGGTGTTGTCACTCTGTGCCCTGCGATGTCGGGCCGGAAGCCTGCTTCGGGCCGTGCCGCTGCCACCGGCCCAGCGCTTGCAGGGCAAGCGGTTTTGAGCAGATTCTTCCACTCTACGGGAAGCCTGAAATCTACTTCGTCCCCCTCGGGTGCAGCCGAGAAGGCCGACCCTGACTCTGACTCCGCAGCGCCCCTAGCGCCCACTTTCCCGCCTCAGGTGCCGCCACGCGTGGTGGGTGTGGTCCAGGGCGGGGCGGGGCCAGCGGGGAGATGGGGCGGGGCAAGATGGGCGGGGGCAGGGACGGTGCGCGAGAGTCCGCGAGATGAGCCGGCCAGAGAGACAGGGGCGAGGCTCAGAAAGGAGAAGGCAGGAGAAGCTAGGCCGGCCTCCGTCCTCGGCGCGGTTCAAAGTTCGTAGTTGTTCGAAGTGATAGACTGAAGGCCAAGACCGTTCAGGTTCTTAATGGCGGACCCGGAACAGGAGCTCAGGTCTCCTGACTTCCAGTTTGATGAGCATAGGGGCTTGTGGGCAAAGTATACATCTTTTAACCTCCATTCTACCTCCCCGCCCCCCTTTTTTTTAAAATCTGGATCGAAGTTTGAAGAGCTTTATTTACCGTATTTGATATACCGGGTTAGGTGACTGGAAGAAAATTGACTTTAAGTCTCTAGTTTTTAAGCATGCAGCAGCGGTGCGCAGTAATCAAGCGACTAGGGTAAGAGCAGTCATACTGTGCGGTTCCTCAGCGACTACACTTGTAGCTGAGATTTAAAATTTAATCCACAGTTTGGCTGGATTAAGTTTAAGGTGGTGCAGATGTGAGTGGTTAGTCATTGAATCCTTCCTGTTGCTTGCCACCGTTCAACTGAGTAAGGTTGTTTTGTTTTTACCAAGGACACTGCCACCAGGGAAAGTCTAAGGTTGAGCCCTCACTGGGGCTCCCTGGAACAGTATTTTTTAAACCGAGGATGTGATGGGACTCCTGTGTGGCTTAGTCGGTTAAGCGTCTGCCTTCAGCTCAGGTCATGATCCCAGACTCCTGGGATCCAGTCTTGGATCGGGCTCCTTGCTCAGCGGTAGCCTGCTTCTCTGTCTGCCTGCTGCTCCCCCTGCTTGTGCTCTTTCTCTCTGACAAATAAATAAATAAAATCTTAAAAAAAACAAAACAAAACAGGTTGTGGAGAGGGATTGCAGACTGACTTAGCCACCCTCCCTGTTTTAATATGGATGACAGCTTAGCCACTTCAGAGTCTTGTTCTCTTCATTTATATTTCTTCCATGGAGTGATTTCTCCTCTCCTGTTTTTGATTTTTTAAAAATATTTATTTATTTGAGAGAGAACACACGTGTGAGAGCACACAAGCAGGAGGGAGGGGTAGAGGGAGAAGCCGACTCCCCGCCAAGCAGGGAGCCTGATAGGGGACTCCGTCCCAGGACCCTGGGATCATGACTTGGGCTGAAGGCAGACATTTAATGGACTGAACCACCCAGGTTGCCCCTGTTTTGGATTTTTGATGATAGTCTACATTTCATGAATACACCAAGATTTTATTTTATACCTACCATTTAGAGGGTATTTTGTGAAGGACTTAATTTTTGACAGTTTCCTGCCAGTACATAGTTTATAATCTTGTGGTATCTCCTGTGGTGAACATAAGCCAAGTTTGAACATGAAACAGTTAAATTACAATTAACATTAACATTTAAAAAATGGTTTTGTTCTTTTATTATGTATCTAATTTCACCTTTCCTAAAATGGATATTTTTTTTTAAAAGGTATTTTATTTGACACAGGTAAGTAGGGTGACTCAGGTTTTATAATCTGAGATAGGTGAAGGCTGATTGAGTAAAGAAAGGTGTCAGCCTTGGTTCTGATTAATGCGATAGCAGTAATCACTTCAGGCTTGAAGTGCTGAGGCTCATGACCTCCAGTCTCCACACTGTCTTTCGTGACAGTAAGGAGAGTTTACCTATAGTTCTTTCCAGGGCTGAAGGTAGATGATTCCAAAAAGAGTGGATGGCAAGGACCTTGTTAGTCAGAAGTACGGTTTAAATTATTTCACATACATCAAGTTTTGAGATTAGAGATAACACATCATTTTCTAATATAGGTTGCAGAAATTGACAGCAGTAAAAAGAGACCACTGGAGAGTGATGGGCCTGTTCAAAAGAAAGCAAAGAAAGTCCAAGAAAAGGAAGGAAGAAGTGATTCAATGATGTTTGGGAACCCTGGTGAGTCCTAGGGCGATGATTGTTCGTTCTCACTAGTCGTGGCACTGATACTGTCTTCTCCAGAGAGCAGAGGAGGTTATTGGAGAGCCGCACCATTTTTTCCTTGATGGACAAAGGTCTCCACTGTGCTTGAGCAGAGTGGCCCCTCCGTAAGTTGTGGTGTGAGTAGGGCTTTGGGGGTGTGGAGGTAGAACTGGAGTTCTGCAATTTGGGTGTAGTTCTCCCCATTTTCTCTTTTATTCCTCCTAGCTAGTTTTTGTCCTGATTATAAAAGTAAAACATTCTTGTTATAAAAATCTCAAATGATACAGAAATATAGAAGAAAGATAACGAAAGACCCCATAATCCTTCTCTTTTAGTGAGACCTGGTAATTTTAGGGGGGCTACTGAATATTTTTCCAGGTTTCTCTATTTATACAGAGCTATATGTGTGTGTGTGTGTGTGTGTGTGTGTGTACACACAAAGACCCACAAATTACTTAGTAATAATAGAATTGGCCCTTGAACAACATGGGGGTGAGGGGCACTGATGCCCTGCACAGTTGAAAATCCATGTAGAATTTTCTGACTCTCCCAAAACTTAACTACCAATAGTGTATTGTTGATAGGAAACCATACTGATAACATAAACAGTTGGTTAACATATATTTTGTATGTTATATATATTCTATACTGTATTTTTACAACGAAGTAAGCTAGAGGAAAGAAAATGTTAAAATCATAAGAGAAAATAC